CCGCTGCCTATGTTAGTAAAGGAAGATAATGTGAAACTCATTTTTATGTTCCGCTGCCTATGTTAGTAAAGGAAGATAATGTGAAACTCATTTTTATGTTCCGCTGCCTATGTTAGTAAAGGAAGATAATGTGAAACTAATTTTTCTTAGATGGTAAATATGAAAACTGGTCAATGGTCAACTAGTTAATGTTACTACCCAGTCCTTCAAAAGATTCAAATAACCAATGGATAAGCCAATAAACAATTAACAGTGCTGAAACCTATTAAATCTTAGCACTATCGATGGAGGGGGGATCTTTGTGATCACCATCTGTTTTTGAAACTATTTATGATGTTAGTTTCAAGAAGTCTTGATACAAAATGATAAAAACCCCTCTAACCCGAGCACTTTCGAAAGGTGGCCCTGAAGAATAAAGGTCCACCTTTCGAAAGCGCTCGGGTTATAGGTTTTTTATAATTTTGTTTCTGAAACTATTCATGCGCACAAATTGCTTTTAGGTTCAGAACATTGTTGGTTACTGGATTCAGTTGATGAAGTTCAATGGTTACTGGATTCAGTTGATGAAGTTCAATGGTTACTGGATTCCCAGTAACCATTGAACTTCATCAACCGAATCCAGTAACCATTGAACTTCATCAACTGAATCCAGTAACCATTGAACTTCATCAACTATTCAGTTGATGAAGTACAATGGTTACTGGATTCAGTTGATGAAGCACAATGGTTACTGGATTCAGTTGATGAAGTTCAATGGTTACTGGATTCAGTTGATGAAGTTCAATAATTCATCAGTTTTTATATACGCTCCACCAAATGAGAATTATGGGGATAATTTTTTATACTAAATCGTTTATTTAGTCATTAAAAAACTAATATATTATTGATATTACCTTATTGAATTAACCTATCCATTATTCAGAATAACTGGTGGACCAGGAACTTCAGTATGACCTTTCACCTACCTTCTTCAAAATTTAGTCTACTGCCCCTTGTGGGACACTCAGCCTACATACATACCACATTTGATGAAAATCAGATGAAAACTTTTAGAATGATACTGTTCACACATTCTTACAGGATTGAAAGTAATATCTCAGCCTTAGACAGGGGTAACTAGTCTATTAATGCATGATAGTTTCTGTCCTCTACATTGGTTTGCTGGATTTCTGTATTCAAGGCTTAGCCTTATTGGTTCATCACACATGCACTGGATAACGACAGGATTAATCATGTTCATATCCAGTTTTAATACGCTGAATTACAAGTTTCTTTGCTTTTTCGAATTTCCACCCACAATCGCACAAGGGCTATCTATACACAACCATCCCTAATTTTGAACTGAAAGACTAGAGGGAAGGCAGCTAGTCAACAGCACTCACCGCCAACTTTTGGACTACTCTTATTTGACCGAACAATGGGATTTGATCGTCATTCTTATAGAAAACACAAAGTGAGGATGGTGTTTTCGTGACAACGGAACACAGTCAAGAAACTTCGAGTTCACATTTTTTTATGCCTAGGCCAGCTTGGTTACAAAATAAAAAGCCTTGTTAGTATGTTAGTTTTGGCAGACTTTAATATTAGCTGTCTTGCCAGTTCTTTCTTATTGGCTGTTTGTTATGTGTACACCAACTGTATCATTCTTATTTCAAATTATCGGCTTTAGAAGCCTACTAACCTGCTATATACGTGAACTTCGTTGATCAAATTACGAACCCCCTCTAGATCCTTGCCTTAGCTTTTGTATGAAACAAACTAAAAAGCTAATCACTAAATGGATTTACTCTCGCTAGACGAAACTTTGTAAAGAGGAGCAACATGATACAATGGTGAAAGGAACGAAATAATACAATAGTGAATAGGATTAAAGAGGCAACATAATACAGTGATGAATAGGATTAAAGGAACCAAATGATACAATGGTGAATGGGATTAAAGGGGCAACATGATACAGTGATGAATAGGATTAAAGGAGCAACATGGTATAATGATGAATAGGATTAAAGGAACCAAATGATACAATGGTGAATGGGATTAAACGGACATCATGATATAATGCTGAATAGGATTAAAGAGGCAACATAATACAGTGATGAATAGGATTAAAGAGGCAACATGGTATAATGATGAATAGGATTAAAGGAACCAAATGATACAATGGTGAATGGGATTAAACGGACATCATGATATAATGCTGAATAGGATTAAAGGAGCAACATGATGTAATGGTAAATAGAATTAAGGTAGCAACATGATACAATGATGAACAGGATCAAAGGAGCAACATGGTATAATTGTGAATAGGATTAAAGGAACAACATGATACAATGATGAACAGGATCAAAGGAGCAACATGGTATAATTGTGAATAGGATTAAAGGAACAACATGGTATCATGATGAATAGGTTTAAACAAGCAACATGATACAATGACGAATAGGATCAAAGGAGCAACATTGTATAATTGTGAATAGGATTAAAGGAACCAAATGATATAATGATGAATCGGATTAAAAGAACAACATGGTATAATGGTGAATAGGATCAAATGAACCAAATGATACAATGACGAATAGGTTTAAACAAGCAACATGATACAATGGTGAATAAAATTAAGATATACACATACTTTTTATTAATCCTTAGCGATGTGTCCGAGTACGTGAAAAAAAAAGTTAGTACAAGTAAAAGACTATACATGATTAAGTTTTAATAAGATAACAGATTATTAGACTATAGTATGACTTAGCACGGTAGAGCGAGCACCTTATTGACATTATCGAGTGTTTCACAGCTTGTGAGACTCCCAGTATTATTGAAAGGTGTCGCTAAAGTGGAGAACTTGGAACTAAATAAAGAGCAAAACTGTTCACCTTTCTTTTTTCTTCTTCTACACTAACAAGAAAATGAGTGACATTTTCGCAATGACTTTAGTACGACAGAAAAGAACAATTGGGAACAGGCTATCACTAAGCACGGTGGTGTTTAGTATGAAGGGATGAGCCGAGAAAAAAATGGCCGCCACATGCATCTATAACTTTATGATGTGTATACCTGGGATTTGTATGATGTCCTCCCCATTAATTGTCATGACCTCTAGCATGTGGTGGAGTCGATTGTATGCACACGCAATACGGGCGCAATGTTTAGGAAAAATATGTATACTTGAGGTATTATGGGAAAAATATTAACACATTAGCTGCCACCAGTATTATTAATAACACAGGCCTGCGAAATTAAACTTCATAAAAGTTGTTTTGGTTTTAATAACGGATTTTCCATAATTCAGCTATGCAAATTTTGAAAATAATATTAATTTTTTTCTGTCACGTAAGGATTTTTTACAGATCTGAAAGAATCAAAACCTCTTACTTAGATCTCGTTTACCACAATGAACATTTTTTATTATTATGTTTGTTAACAAAAATACAAACAAACTGAAGAAAAGGGAAGAACGTTGATGTCAAACGAATATGCATCCTCGTTCATCCTGGTCTTTTTGTGAAATTACGTCTTTTAGTCTCAAAACTACGTGTTCTGGAATTTCTTTTATGTATTGTGTTATGACGTTTTGTGAAAAATCTGAACACGATGGAGAAAACTGGATATCATTTTCGGATTCAGCGTACAGGAATTACTGTAGAACATGTAAAAATTTCAAGACAATAAAACCATCGCAGGCCCGTGTAATTCCTAACCCTATTGCCATTCATGAAGTGCCAAAGAGCAGTCACGGTGTCCCAAAACTCATACACCACACGAGATATTTGGCTACGAAATATAACTGTCTGTAACCCATCGTTGTGTCATGCGGTCCATAACTAAAAGTCGATTGTGACCCAACGGTGGGGGCACATGGCAGCGAACGTGTTAAGATGCTCTATTGAATTTTTATGCCGTTTGTTGTGGTCGCAGATTTCTACATCAGGAAATAAAGTATGGGGGTTATGTGGAAAAGATTCTTAAGTTTTCAATTACTTTAGTGAACTACATTCTTTTATGAACCGAATTGTCTTGGGAGAAGAAAAAAAAGTAGTTTTACTTAATATAACTATCATTGCTGTCGTTCAGTTTACGAGAAACGTTAATGGTTAGTTTTCTACAAGACTGTGTTTATTAAAAGTACACGTGGTATTCTTGAAGCGTCGCCTGGGGGTGATTATAAAGCATAAGGTGATTGGTCCTTACCACAGCCGAAAACAGTCCCGAGACGTGGGAAGATGTGACGTCACGCAGCGACATCGAAAGAAATCAGCGAAATCTACCGACAGTAAGAGAAAATGACTGCTCTGCTCATAGCCTTACGAGTTGACAGCTTCCCCGAGGGTCGTATTTTGTAGGTAGAGCGGAGGTAGACATCTGTCAGGGTGGGGTGACGTTCTGCTTACATCACTGTTACAGAAGAACGCTGAGATAGTCATTGACCAAATATAGACAAAACCTGATGTAAGGTAGGAAAAAAGCATGATAATGGCGCTGACTAGTTCAAAATATTTTGCTTTACTTTAATACATCAGAGGTTTCATAATGTTAACCATCTGTGCGTTTCATTAACACCTGTGTATATTAAGAGGTGTTCTAAAAGTAATATGAGAACGGTCAACTTATATATATATATGTAGTTACGTACTGTTTTTGGTTGTTTTGTTTTTGTTTTTGGAATTTCGCGCAAAGCTACACGAGGGCTATCTGCGCTAGCCGTCCCTAATTTAGCAGTGTAAGACTAGAGGGAAGGCAGCTAGTCATCACCACCCACCGCCAACTCTTGGGCTACTCTTTTAC